ACGAGACAGTTAGGTGGGCATCAAGGAAGGATTATGGAAGTAAATCACCTTTTTTTTCCCACCACACACAGAAGAAAAATCCTTTGCAAGAAAGGAGCTGGCTGAGGCAGGCTGGTTTAGATGAGCGAGAAGTTGCTTGAACAGGTTTAAGAGGAACACAGGTGTTCCCCCCTCAAGGAGGAATTTTCCCCCCATTCCTATTTAGGAAGATGCGGTGTTTCTGGTTTCCTATGAACTGCTTTCTAATTTCCTGTGATTTGTGGGCACTTTCCTCCCTGGTGCTTCTGCGTGGATCCTTAATAAAATGCACACACATATTTGTGAGGCTTCAAACAGGTAGCCAGCATGCCCAAGCAGCCTATGGGAGGGGACACCAGAGCAGGGTGGGTTGCTGTCCCAGGCAGGATCTTCCAGAACACAAGGAAGGACAGAAAGCTGGAATGAGGGTGAGTTCAGATGGGAAAGGGGCAGTGGATGCTGCTGAAGGTCTCCAGACAGCAAGAGGCGGGGAGAAAAATGAGTTCTCATTTAAATTCCCCAGTTCTTAAAGCCCCTTAGACAGAGATAACCTGTTGTGATGATCATCCCTGCCTTTTGAACAACTTTTATGCCCCTTTAGAATAAAGATGATTGGTTCATTTTCAAGTGAGACACAGGCCCACTGACTGCTTGCCCAACATCTCACCACACAGGTAGCAAAGCACAGACTTGAATTCAGACACTAGGAAAGATTATCTGCAAGTTGGATATAAGGCCATGAGCATTTAGGATGGCCTTGAGATGCCCTGTTTAACACATCTGCCTCCGGGATTAATTAATTATCTAGGGGAAGGTAACTAACTTTGTTTCATTCTGCTAAATGACTAAAATTTCGTCTGTGAGGTTACATGCTAACTTGTAAACACTTGGGGGAAGAGAAGCAAATAATTCCTATTCAGTCAAAAGGTTATCAAAGGTTATCTTTTTTATAGGACAATAATCAGTTTTCTATTGAACCCAGCTATTTTATTCTACAATTACTTTTTATGTCCCTATAAACACCTAGTTCCTCAAAACGCTCTTTGGACAAGATTTGCCATCTTACTGGTTCACTCATTAATGAGTTCATAAATCTTTGGCATGTGCTTCTTTTATCTTTGCATGACAGTCATGTTTTTAACTTTTTAAAAATTCTGTTTCTTGCTACATTAGAAAGCTAGCATTTCTTCCTCCAAAATAGCTTCTTTATGGTACCACACACCCCTCCTAGGGGACACTGGACCCAGTGATACAGACAATGGACTGTGGGCAAGAAACTGAAGAGTATTTGAGGGCTTCCTCCTCACTGACCCACATGTCCACCATTAGGGCTTTCCTGGGATTCAGCACGTCTTCCTTCATTGACTTCAAAATCCTGCTCTTGGCAGCTGAGACAGGCCACCACCAAATGAGGAAGGGGCTTTGAACTGGTTCTCTGTGCAGCCGACACTGGACCAATGGTCTGAGCTGCCTACAGGGCATAAACAACACCGCCTCAACCAATCTGCCAATGACACCTGGTTTTGTGAGATGACTGAAACACTCACTGAAATGCCCAAGGAAGGAGGCTTAGTTCCTGCCTGGGATATTTTTCCTCTGGGCAAAACTAATTGATCCACCAGAGAGCCAACCCATGACTTAGGCTTCATTAGTCCCTCATAGCGCCTCAAAATTAACCACTCCAATTCACTCAAAGAAAAAACACAAGGAAGCAAAGAGTTTAATGGGATTTGAGAAAGAAGGCCTTCAGTTTTACATACTTAACAGGTCACTGACAACTCTTCACACTTTACTGAGAGAACCATCTGCGCTATTAGCAGGTCATTTGACCTTCTCTCTTTAAAACCTCTCTGAGCTCAGAAAACAACTCTGATAGCTCCCAGAATAGAAGGTGGTCTGGGGTTTTAGCCTGACCGACCACTGTCTGCCAGGCAGTTTTGCTGGCTATAGGCGTCTCCCAGCAGTTAGATTCTTGCCAGGGAGTATCAAGCTGCAGTTCTGCACCTTCTGAAAGGCTCTGTCTGCCCGAGTTGCCCCTGGTGCTCCGTCTCTGTTCTTTGTATTCAGCATCGACCCTGTTCAGAAGGAACCATGCTGTGTAGTATGGAGCACATTGGATACGGAAATTCTGCCCTCAAGGGTCTTTCTATCTAGCAAGGATATAAGATAGATCACATAGGGTAGAAAGTGACTAGTCATTCACAAATATTCAGATCCCATTATGTGTCAGTTAATATGAACCGGGCATTCAGTGGAAAGCAAGGGACAGTGCCCTTGTCCTTGAAAATGAGTTCAATAAACATTTGTTGAAAAATTGTTCAGCACATACAATAAACAGGTATTTTCTTTCATTTAATTTCTTCTTCTCGAGTTCTTTTAGCAGATAAGGAAATGAGGGCTCATAGATGTTAGGTGACTTTCCCAAGGTCACTTACATGGTGACTAGTAAACAGGATTCAAATGCAGAAATGTCTGACTTGAGAGATGCTCCTCTTTCAACCTTATTCCATTTCCCATTAGCATTTTATGGACACAGCTTCCCTCTGTGCAGTTGTGGCCAGTGCCTTTCCAAACCAGGGAGCCTCATGGGACACAGGTTGGTAAACAGTATGGCATCCACTGCTAGTCCCAGATAAGGACTCACAAAGACACGACTGATGCACACAACCCACAGGGACACTTAAATCCATCCATCTCTGGTGGTCCCTTGATGTCCTCTGGCATAAACTACGATCCACTTATTTTCCTTGCAACAGAATGGGAGAAAGCAGAGGCAGAGAAGAAAGTGTACCATGCCTTGTAGAGACAGGGCACAAGTTCCACACCCTTCCTTTGGATTCTTTCAGCAGGGCTGACCCCACACACAGTCACTACACATCATAGCTGAAACACTAACATGCTTCCTAACCAAAAATGGTATTCTCCCCAYTACCATCATTTTGCATTAACCCAAAAGAATTGTTTTAAATCCTTCTCCTTTACAATTTTGAGGGGAAAAAAAGAGCAATTTGGGTCTTTCACATCTGAACAAACCTGGGTTAGTGATCTAGGACAACCTGACCCTGTATACCCAGCTCTTCAGCTCCCCCTAAAGCACCCTTGTAATTCCAGGTGATCCTTGAGGACTCAGATCAGTCATCTCCTCCAGAAAGCCTTCTCGGATTCTGCATGTGGAGAGACACACACACACACACACACACACACACACAGACTAGCTCTCCTGCTGCAGGCTCTCACACCCCTCCACACTGCCCTTGGCATAGTGTATGCTTCAATGCATTGTGCCCAAGCCTTCCCAGTAAAGCACCTGTCTTCATATTCTGAAAAAGAAAGAACTGTATCTGGTCTTCTATTTCCAACAGCCTAAGGGTCTCAGGAACAGCCGCCCTGACCTGCTTGTACCCAGTTCCCTAGAGGCAGGAAATTCCATGTTGTAATAGCTGGATTTCTTCCCTTCATTCCTAATCCATGACTAGGCAGCCAACCGGTCATTAAAGAAAATCATTTGGGCAGATTTCAGGAACATCTGACCCAGCTCTCTTCTCAAGTATATACAAACAGGAAAATAAAACAGGACAAAGAACTTTAGGCCACATGGTTTCACCTTCATTTCCATTACCAGTTTAACTTTCCATCAGAAGTAAAAATGGTTAAATGCCCTTCCTCTGTCAACATGGTAACCAAGGTTCAGTGGAGCTGGGTTCACCATTTAAAAACTCACCTGGGTGGCAAGAGCCATTTTATCAAGCTGAACACAGGTTAATCTGAGTAAATTAGATAGTTTCCTGTGTCTGGGCAGACAGTACCTTTAAACAAGTGCTTCTCAAAGAATGGCATTAAGAAATGTTTTACAGACTGGGGATGTGGCTCAGTGGTAGAACACCTGCCTAGTATGTATAAGACTTTAGGTTCAATCCCCAGCACTGCAGAATAAAGAAGGAAAGAAAGAAAAGAAATAGAAGTATTTTGCATACATTAAGCCCATGGACCTAAAAATAAAAGTAAGACTCAGTACCAAATCAGCAACCCTGAACAGCAGACTAGAGAACCTGGCTGGCACAGATTAGAGATATGGTTATAAAAGACTGCTATTCAGTTTATCTTTCATTTCCTGCACAGCTAGTGATGGAGGAATCACAAATCATATTATCATTGCACTTACACACTTTTTTAATCAACTAGAGAAAAAACACACTTTCCTTGATATTTTATTTCCTATTTCAAAAAAATTGATTTTTCTAGAAATTTAAATTTGCTCTTTCTATTCACCAAGAGAATTGTCTAACTTCTGCATTAAATCTGCTCGATCTCGGTTTAGTTTCAAGCCGAGGCTTTATTTCATCTCCAGACATGCACAGAGTGCTTGGTATCCTATATTATTTCTCACTCTTGGACACAATTGCTTAGCAAGGCAGGAAGCCTGCTGGGTAAATCAAACCGGCTACTTTTCACTCTCTAGATTTCCTTTAGGTATGTGAAATCGAACCCATACAACATCTCCTCCTGCCACGGAGGTGGGTTAATATTCTTTGTGTTCAGGGTTTTATTGACATTTCAAAGGCAGATAAAAGCTGAGAGATTTCTAACAGAGGAGTTGTGTACACAATACTGTCTCCTGAAAGGTGACTCAAACCAAAGACGACAATGACCTAACTCGAAAGGCGTCCAGCATCTTTTTTCTTCCCTCAGGAGCACGATATTCTAGCACCCAACAAGGACCAAGGAGCAGCCTACAGAGGGCCCTCATAGCACCGATAATATTCATCTCAGGGGAGAAATGTGGACTTGGCTCAGACCATCTGCTGTCACTGCAGCCCAAGGTTGCCTTTCATTTGGAAATCATGCTGTCAACTTGGTTTAGAATAAACATGGGTGAAGCATATGCTTATCCTTGCTGCCCAGAGAGATGTTGGCATGGAGAAATGGGAAGGCTCCTGATTGAAGCTTGTGTTTATAGATTCTCCTCTTCTCTTCTCCCCTAGTTACAGTGACCGTGGGAGGAAAGCAGCACCTGCTCGGACTCTATGACACTGCAGGACAGGTACATTTTTATTATCTGGATCCATTAAGAGCTAGGGAAGGGGGTGTATGAGAAAGAATGGTCCATTTGGCTAGGCATATGGGGACTAACCGCAGTGGTATCACCCATTCTGATCATTTGAGGCCAATTTGTTTTCTACCTAAATGACAACCAAAATCACATTTCGAATATTTTTTTAAATTTATACCTACAAAAAGCTAACTCATTATTATAGCMAAGGTTTTGATAAGTAATGATTTAGTCATTTACTGACAACCATCAATAACCAAAATAACATATTTGTTCAAGAGTTTTGAAGTTTCCTCCTACCAAACTTAGTCCTGATACAGGCTTAAGGGGATGATCTCATAAATTTTAGTTTTACTGTCTTTTCATGTTATTTTTTTTGCCCATCCTTCATTCAAATTGATTAATGGACTATGAAAGGGTCTAAAAAGAGCCTGTGGAGGAAGCATCAGGAGGCAGGAAGACAACAGATTAAGTGTTGGAAGAAAAGCCAGGATTCTGGATATTTTCCAAAGTGAAGAACTGAGAGCTGACTCTAAATTCTCTAAGATTCTTGAAATACTTCCACTCTGACAGCAATGTTTCCTCAAGTAGGAGAACCTGGGCAAACAATAATGTAAAACCATGGACTAGAGTCCTCAGTTCTTAAATGGCACCATCAACTTGGGTAAAAAGATTGGATGCCCTTGACTGTCYGTCCTTGTGCCCCGCACACACATCCTTATGAAGTTTCTGATGCCCTGAGTTCATAGGCTGGAGGAGGGGAAGGTCATAAGCAGTTGGTGGCTATGGCCCAAAGTCTTGGATAGAGCTTGTTATCATATGTTGCGGGTCATTGATTTAGGTCAAAATCAGCGGGTTGTTCAGTCTGTCCAAATTCATACATTTTAAGTGCTTTGGAGTAAACATTGGACCATGTTATTTCCCACTGTGGGTTTCCTGGTAATGATTACTTATGCATTTGCCTCGCCCTTTTTGCACAATTATCTGAAGTTATGTCATTTTGCTCCACTTGAAAACTCCCTGCTAGAAAATAAATAAGTGAAATCTTTGTGAGGAATTCTGTGTGCATCTGCAAGCACCACGGTATAAGATGTATGTGGGACATCAAAGGCTGGTGTTGTGCAGGCTAGGACTGGGACCTGGGAAATCTAGCACCAGACTCAAGGCTCCTAGGAGCATCTGATTTTCCCTCATGGGCAGATGGGAGTGGAGGTGACCTCTCACATCAATAGAAGGACCCGAAGCTAGAAAATGATGCCCACCCCCACCACCCCGTTTTCATTAAACTGGAAAAATCAGTTTGGCTCCTCTTCACGAAAGTCCAAGGACCTCAGTACAGGTAGCTTCCTCTATCATAAAGCATTCCAGCTGCAGTGATGCACTGTTTGGCGGTGAAATTGCTAATTGTAATCCAATCACACAATCATTGAGGTATCCCCATTCATCAGGGACACTTAACCACTGAGCCACATCCTCAGCCCTTTTTTTGTATTTTATTTAGAGACAGGGTCTCACTGAGTTGCTTAGGACCTCAATAAGCTGCTGAGGCTGGCTTTGAACTTGTGATCCTCCTGCCTCAGTCTCCCAAGCCACTGGGATTACAGGCATGTGCCACTATGCCAGGCTCGTAGTCAAATTTTATGTATATAATCCAGTTTGAAAAGTTCAATAGGAGGATTATTTCATGACTCTGAAACCTGATTCCCTTGCTTTCTCCAAAGCCCTCTATGCCCCTGGTGCCCATCCCATTTTCCCCTTTTTCTGTTTCAATTTTTTGCTCCTGTACATTAATTGCCCCCAAGAACCACCTCTGTAGGCCTCTATGCAATTTCAAATCCAATAATACTGTTTAAAAGCTCTTATGGAGTTTAATTATTTTTTACCACTGCTCTTGTCCTTTATAAATTTTTTAAAAATACTATTAGTATAAGAGTCAAAGCTATCAGACGTTGTAAAAATATCATTAAACTCCAAAGCAAAGCAAGTGGATTGGTCCAAACCTTTGACACAGAAATGATAAATACTGATAATAGAATAACAGATGGGTTCTAGATATTTCTTCAACTTAACTGTGACTTTAATGCTTTCCACCAGTTATTTTGAAATCTCAGAAGGGGACAAGGTTTATAGTGGGTATAAAGCACAGGAAAAAGGAATCAGAATAGCTCTTAAGCTTCCTTCTCGACCTAAAAATTCTATGATTAGGACCTTTAAAAAGATAACTTCAAGAAAGCCTGAAAGAACTTGAGTTTTAAGCAAAAGGATGAGGCCAGACCCAAGGTAGAACTTTTGGTAGATTTCAAATCCTGGGATATTATACTGAAGGATAACCAATCAGTCATTTTCTAGAACAGTGTTTCTCAAACTTAAACACAAATAAGTCACCTATAGGGCTTGTTAAAAAGCCAGACACTGGACCCACCCCCAGAGTTTCTAATTGTATAGGTAAAGTCCCAAGAATTCTCATTTCTAGCAGGATTCCTGGTACTGGTGCAGCTGGTCTGTACAGCATACTTTGAGAATCACTGTTCTAGAAAATTGCCAAAGTTTGATTCACTGACCAGCAGATCAGCATCACTAGCAGCATATTAGAAATGCAGACTCTGGGACTTCTCCCCAGTCCACTGAATTTGAAAATTCACTTTATATGCACATTAAACTCTGCAAAACACTTACTCTTGAAGTCTTTGGTGGTTGAAGCCCTGTTCCCAAAGTTGATTCCTGTGATCCTACAATACAGCTAAGATGGCTTTTAACAAATTTAATTTAGAAACATTGTTCCAAAAGTTCCATTCCCAGTCCTAGGTAGGATAGTCCACCCCTCCTTGGTTAGATTCTAGTGAATGTTGCTGAGGTCTCATGACTAGGGAATATCTAACTAATTCAAGATTACGCACTTGGCCAGTTACTAATGAGGAACGAGAGATGATCTCAAAACCAATTGATAATCCCTGAACCACAAAAAATGAAATAAGTCTCTGAATCTGGCTATGGAGTTCCATCTTGCTTGAATAATTAGATTCTCTTACATGAATAAACCAAAGAGCAGTGCCCCTTGTCTTTGTCTTGAGCTAACCATGGGTCAGAGTTGACAAAAACCACCTTAAGAAGCAAATGCGTTCTGAGAGGTAAAGTGACAGGAACTCATTACTTCTACCCACAAAGTCAGCCTTGCACAAAATCGTTTGACCTGGTTCCCCCTGTGCCGAGGTACTCGCCTGCCTCAGGCATGGCTGCCGCAAAGCCCTGGCTCCAGTGGCTCCTGCCCCTTCACAGTTCAGCCGAGCACTGGATAAAGACATTTTATAATGAAGTCAACACGCAGACGCTGTCAGCACGTGGTCGCTGCCTCCTCAACCCCCTGAAACAAGCTAACATTTGGTCTTTGAGCAGAGCCCTTTGAAGATAAAGAGTCTTCAGAACTCTGGTTCATCTGTTGGGTAGGATTCCAAACATTAGGTTAGACAATGAAGTGGGGGGATTTACCCCTCAGATCATGCTAGGGAGGGATAAGGCCAATCCTCCAGCCAAATCTATTTAGGTCAAGCCAACTCGTCCTGCACGGCACATGCCTCTTGCAGTGTGTTGCTGAAAATCTATCTGAAAAGGATTTCTAGAGCTCAGATCTTGCACTCTGCTACAGAAAGAGTGACAGAGCTGACTTCCATGATGTCCTCTAGGCAGACCAGTTTGTTTAGAGCATGTCGTGAGAGATCAAGGGGAGAGAGGAAGCAAACCCTGGGCTTTCACAGCCTGAGGAATGCCAAACTGGGAGAGGGGTCTTTCCTAGGTCATGCTTCAGACCCACCCACGGTGGGTCACCTAGAGCTGGAACCAGCAAAGGTACCCAGATGCCATGCATCCCTCTCATCCCCCAATGTGAGCACACCCTGCTCAGATTGTGGCCTCTCGGGCCAAACTCCAGGATGGAAATATCTCCAAGACAGCATTTGCAAAAGTGGCAGGTAGCAGCACTGCCAGAAGCAAATGAGCATCTCCTGGTATCAGGAGCCAGGGGCAGCCTGCCGTCAGCCTAGGCAGGCACCAAGCTTCCCAGCAGGGTAAATCCGGGAGTTTTCTGCCCACCAGCCTCACACAGTAGGGGCTGCATGTGGTGCTACCACCAGTAATTGTGGGAACAGGAAGCCATCAGCCCAGAGCCTCACTCACCCAGGACTGGAGACYGCACTTCTCAACCAGAATCTGATTTCTGAAGCTCCTTTTTCCCCCCGAGGGCTGCAGAAGCCCACAGGCCAGCAGGAGGGAAATACAGCTGGGGTTCATTAATGGCAACCCAAGTCCACTTGGTCACACACAGGCCTTTCTCTTAGCTATTGGCTGACCCCATGGAGCCATCTGGAGCACGGGATCTGGCCTCAACCCTCGATGGAAAGTTTGCCTGAAACCTCAGAACAAATGTTTTTCCCTCAATAAGCAACTCAAACTTCCTAGTCACAGGCATTTACTGCAGTTTCTAGAAGGATGCATTCGGAGGATTAGGGAGCAGTTAGCCCACATGACAGGTTATTGGTAAAAGTAATCTGAGGACCAGATCTCACTTCTCCACAAACTATGAAAAATGAAACTGGAGGGAAGTTGACGGAGAGACGCAGAGTTTACAAACATTTGGATCTCATTACTACTCAGTTCAGAAAAAGTCAATTTCAGAGTCAGCCCTGGTATCCAGTGAGGGTAGGAAAACAGCGCCAAGAACTGCAGCTGTTGTTGACATGGATGGAGGATGGACTGTTTTACTCTGTCATTAAAGTGCTTACCATGCTCAAGACACCATTCCAAGTAGCGTACAGATATCAACACACTTTGTTCTCACAACAACCCTATGAGGCCAACACTATGATCATTCACATTGACCGATAAGGAAACAGAGGCAGAACTTACCACATCATAGTCACAGGTAGTCACATGTGAACCTGGAGAATTTGTTTCCACAAATTCCATCCTATGCACCCAGCCCATACACAGCATGCCCAGGTTTTCTAAACCAAGCCTCCCTTATGGGAGAATATGAAAATGAGATGGTGCTGAAAAAAATCCAGAATAAATGTCACTAAAACCCACAAAGAATTGGAAGCGGAATTCTCTTCCCAGTTGTTTAATGTGAGTCTGGGCCAGGAGCCGGGCTCAGCGCAACTCTTCTTGCTACTCAAAAAAGTGTGGTCCCTGGACCAGCAGCATGGGCATCACCCAAAGACTTGTTAGAAATGCAAATCGGTGGGCTTTACTCCAGACCTGCTACCAAATAAGAACCTGAATCATAACAAGGACCCCAGGTGATTCAAATGTGTGTAAAATCTGAGAAGTGCCTCACTAATCCACCACCTGTACCACCTTGGTGCAGTTATTTTCAAACATTTTTAGGACCCAGGTGTTTAGCCTATCTGCTGCTGAGGCTTCTTCTGAACTTTTTAAATAATCACCCATAGCCCCCCGCCCCACCCCACCTCAGAGCATCAGGTACACCTTCACACTGGACACTCTCTTGCTCATGGGGTAAAGTTGGGTAAAAAAAAAAAACACTCAAAAGCCCCAAATCCCCCATCCCTTTGCCCACTTTAGCCTTCCAAAGCCCCATCAAGTGACTCTTGCATGTTAAAACATTGTCTCTTCAAGAACCTCACAAGAACATATCTTTCATTCTCAATTTCAATATGAGAAGGGGCCTTAATAACATCTGTACCATTCAACCCCTTCTCAGAGCCCCTTGACATCATCTTTCCACGTGATCATCCAACCTAGGGTCAAAGTGTACTCCATCACAAAAATCATTCCAGCTCTCATCTGGCATCAGTTCAAAACCCCAACCTCCCACCACCAAACCCCCCAGTCCCAAGGGAACACTTCCTTTTATCAATCCTGAATACCTGCCATGTTTCATAGCCATTGCCAAGGACCAGCCCCTACCAGCCCAGGTAAAGCCTTCTCAGAAAGTATTTTGGTTCTGTAGTCCTGTTAAATCATTCAATGCATGAGTCCTTAGTTTCTGAAACTATAAAATTGGCCGGGGTGGTGGGTGGGGATAGCAGTAGCCTGTGCTTCTGAAACTTATGACCCAGGTGCAGCAGCTTCTCCCCCAGCTTCATCTTCAGGAGGACTGGATAAGGTCTGAGACAGCATGCTAATCATCTCCCAATGACGCCCAGGCTGCTGGTCAGGGGGAACCACAATTTGGAAACCACTGCACTAACTCATGTCTAAGGTGTCATTCTGCAGCCTTGTCATTGGATTTTTCCAATTCAGTCAGTTAGAACATTATCAGACTAGCTAACAAAAGGCAAGCAAAAGTGCACCCCATTTCACATAAATGGGATGTTTCGTGCATTTCTTTTCCCAATTCAATTGCCAGTTCTCACTTACCGTGTGTAGTTCACATAGCATCCCTGACAGTGCTACATGTTCAGTGACAACAAACCATGTTACATGGAATCATGCAACAGGACTAAGGTTTCCTCGGATCAGAAACACACTTCTCTCACCTTCCCACCTACACTTAGCCCAGCGAACCCTGGTCTTTAACTTTTGCATAATGTAAGCATAATGTATCTGGTAGCTGCTGAGAAAAGAATCAAATAAACATGATTCTTTCAGACCTGTTATTTGCTCCTACCTAACCTACTTTAGACATTTCTCCCAACGGTGTTTTGTTTGGATTTTAGGCTTTGAGGTTTTAAAATACAGTGTCTGCTGCCATCGTGTGGTAGTTTTGAGCAGATGCAGCTATCAAATACACAACATACCCCATGGTCTACCACTTAGATCCCTGGGTAACTCAAGAACTGTTTCCTAGATAACAGAGTTTAAGAAAATGCCTATTCTGTCACTTAAAATTCTGAGCTGTAGCAATAGTGTGGTCACAATTAAGAGCCAGATCTGAATGCAGCTGGATGCCCCCTTCTGGTATTTAATGACTCTGTTGCATTCGTCCATATGGAAATTCCCTAAAAATGAACTTAATTCTCTAAACCTTAACTTTTTCTTCTATTGATGGTGCCATATTTCCAGTGCCATTGTGAAAGTTCAATGAAACGGTCCATATAACTGCTTGAAACAATACCTAGCCCTTAGCTATGAGCCCTCAACACAGCCTCAGTTGATAGTAAAGATGATGCAAATCGGTTGCCATCGAGTCCAGGCACACCCCAGGCCAAATGATGCAGGATTTGCAGCTACCCAGTACCACTCTCCAGAGATTATGATTTAATTGATTCCAGTGTTGGGAGTGGCTGATAGTGATTATCCAATAGCAAGAGGTTTCAAAAGCTCCCCAGGTGATTCTAATCAAAGCCACGYTAGCAAATGGTCCATGGGAAAACTGCATGTTCATTTGGAGGTCACTGTAGATCCCTTTTCTACTAGTGAGTCCACTACATTCATGGAATATTTGCCATAGGAAGAATATAGGTGGGAAATGGTGGGGGAAGTCAACATGAGCCCTGATCCACTTTTTTAAAAAACATTTTAAAACTATGTAGATGGACATAATTTTCATTATTTATTTATTTTTATGTGGTGCTGAGGATCGAACCCAGTGCCTCACATGTGCTAGGCAAGCGCTCTACCACTGAGCCACAACCCCAGCCCACCTGATCCACTTTGGACAATTCAAATGGAAAGACAAAGTGGCAGAGGGCAGGTAGTATCGTGTCCAGTTGTAGTTTATAGCCTCAGATTTCTTAGCATGCTTCTCTCACAGGGAATAGTCCGGAGAAAAAGCAGCTAGGCAGGGAGACCGTGGGAAAGAAAATCTGGTATTTGAGGCTAGATATATAAAGAGGAGAAGGTAGTCCCACGAGATGAACTTTCCCAGTTGCCTTCCCTATACCTCATGCAACACAGGGGGAGATGTGGGCACAAGTCACTGAGAGGCAGCCTGGCCCAACTTCCCAGGATAACTAATGTTTATTCATCACTGCACTGGACTTTCAATCATTTGCTTTAGTAGAAATGTGGTAAAGGAGCCCACAGTAACAGAGTTGCTATTGGTTGGTTGGTTGAGTTTTTAGGATTCTATTTTTCTCCATCCTTGCCATCTTGCATTGCATCCTATTTAGGTACCTAAAATCTTTGCTTAAGTTTTAATAGTATTAGCAGTATTAACTGTGGTGGCCATGCATACTGAACCCCTGGGTACTCTGAGTAGCCCAGTGATAGATCAATGCATTTCCACCAAACAGATGACCACAATTTGCCTTCTAAGGTTACTGCCTGTCACTTATGTGTATATGTGTGCACATGTGTGTACTCCATTTTATAAACACTTTAGAGTCAATAGAAAGATAATGAGATTAATATTAAAAAATATGGAGAGGACATATTAAGTTTTTTAAAATAAGCACCACAAAAGTATGAACTGTATAATCAAATTGTTTTTACACTAACCATGTATATTATATATATATATAGAGAGAGAGAGAGAGAGAGTGTTTGGAAGGATAACGTTAGGCATTTATCATCTCCCACTAAAACAACAGATACACAGATGTGGAACCAGGAATCTTTCAATCAGAAACATATTCTGATCTGGAAAGTCCATGGGAAAAAAAATCTGGTATTTTATTTATTTGGCCACACTGTGGTATTCAGGAAATCTTAGAAATAAATTTGAAATTCTTAGCTCTGAACATATTTCTTCCAAAACGATGGTGTCTGATTTGGCAACAACTCTTTGTATTTTAGTTATCTTATTCTAAATTAAATTTGAAAACATTTCATTTTAATTACATAAGGAGGGAATTTCTTTGCTTTTTTTAACCACCTATTAATTTAAATCCATATCACATATAACAATTTCCAGTGTAACAGGAGAACTGCACTGATCCTTATTGGATTATACCCCTTAAATGGGCAAACTTTTGAATACATAGAAGCAGGGTAAAAGGGTTGTTATCAGGGTGGGGGAATGGGAAATGGTGGTCAAGGGTACAAAGTCAAGGTTAGAGGATGAATAAGCCTAGAGAGAGAAATAAACACAGCATGAGGACTACAGTTAATAAGATCTGTGTTGTATTCTGGAAATTTGCTAAGAAAGTAGATTTTACATGCTGTCACCAATTAAAAAGATAACTATGTGAGGAGATGGATATGCTCAATTACTTGACTGTAGTATGTGCACGTATAACAAAACTTCATGTCGTACACCGTAAATACATACCATTAAAAAGTAAAAAATAAGCCAGGCACAGTGGCGCACACCTGTAATCCCAGTGGCTTGGTAGGCTGAGGCATGAGGATTGCAAGTTCAAAGCCAGCCTCAGCAAAAGCAAGTTGCTAAGCTAAGCAACTCAGTGAAACTCTGTCTCTAAATAAAATACAAAATAGGGCTGGGGATGTGGCTCAGTGGTCAAATGCCCCCTGAGTTCAATCTCCGATACCAAAAAAAAAAAAAAAAATGGTGAGAAATAAGTGGATGAACTTTGTGATAGGTAAATCATATATCAGTAAAGCTGCTAAAACATTTCTTAAATTCATCTTAAATGAGGTCAATACAAATCTCTATCTGCAACAAAAAGGTGTTCTCCTGTCCAGTGGCTCCTGTATTCCTAGTAATATAGAGACCACCAGACCAGAGCCGGGAGGAGGGGGATCACAGTGCCTGTAGTAGAATCTTCACGGTATCACTCCCAGGAGCCACGTGTGACCTTTACAGTTGGACACACTCTCATCTGCTCTTCCCGCAGGAGGACTATAATCAGCTGAGGCCGCTCTCCTACCCCAACACCGATGTGTTTTTGATCTGCTTCTCGGTTGTAAATCCTGCCTCTTACCACAATGTCCAGGAGGAATGGGTGCCGGAGCTGAAGGACTGCATGCCTCATGTGCCTTACGTMCTCATAGGGACCCAGGTTAAGATGCGGGTGATGGCAGAGTGGGTGGGCTGCAAGAAGAAAAGACCCTTTAGGTACATCACCAACATTGTGTTCTACCAAACACTGAGGGAGAGGGTCTCGGGACATGTCCCTCCTGTGAATGGAAGTTCTTAAAGTGTGCATGAGTAAAGACTTGGAGTTGAAAAGAGAACAACTATTTAATATGAAGCACTGTTTTAATATGTTCTTTAAAAAATAATCTGTTTTTTAATAACAAAGTATTTTTTTTAAATAGACATTTGTCCAGCCCTGAGTCAGAGTAATAAAACATGGGCAGTAACTGCACATATCTAATACTTTCGCAGCTAAAATCCACAATTGTTTTGAAATTCAAAATAGGTGTGGGTGTCAAAATGACCCTGGCAATCCAAATGAGCACATTTTGACAGAATTCCTTGAAAAGAAAGAATTCCTGGAAATGGAAGACAGAAATTCATGACTTTATTGTCTTTAAATCCCTTGATCTTCCAGATCTTAGAAATGAAGCTAAAACACACATGCCAGACCTTTCTGGACTCTAAAGACCTTTAAAGTATTTTGAAAGCTAATGAAGTTGCATAGTTTGAATTTCTGAGTCAGTTGCACAAATGGATCAAAGATGGTCCTGATTTTTTTAATATTTATTTTTTAGTTATAGGTGGACACAATATCTTAATTTTATTTTTATGTGGTGCTGAGAATCGAGCCCAGTGCCTCATTCATGCTAGGTGAGCGCTCTACCTCTGAGCCACAACCTCAACCCCTGTCCTGACTTTTTGTACTTTTAAAAGGATTTTGTTTTTTGCTTTCTCAAGATCTAAATTACTATTCCAAAGTCATAGGAATGTAATGACTCTGGGGACTTTATGGTTTTCCATTTCATATGCTGTTTCTTTCTATTTCTCACTTTACATTCTGCTTAACAAAGAAAAATGTTTAAAAACCATAAAGAAAAACATTGCCTAAGGAAGACATGGACCGATACAGAGTATATGTGTTTATTTGAACAGAGACAAAGTAAAAGATTCATTTATCCACAGATCCTGGCACACAATTGATTTTTCTGCTCTGAAAGACAATCATTTGTTTTGTTGTTGTTGTTGTTGTTGTTTTTAGTGTTTTTTAAGATGTTGATGGACCTTTATTTTATTTATTTATTTATTTATTTATTTTTATGTGGTGCTGAGAATCGAACCCAGTGCCTCACATGTGCCAGGCAAGCACTCTAGGTAGCACTGAGCCACAATCCCAGCCACAGCAAAATTTAAAGGAACCAAAATACTTTATTAAACTATCAAACCTAACAAATGCTCCCTTCAAGGCAGTTCTGCTTTTGAAAAGATGCTTCATTAAGCCGAACCCTTTGGAAACTCCTCCTGGGGACCTGCCTTCTTGAGCGTGCAGTCTATTTGTTAGAAGAGTCAGAGAGGCAGCAAATCTTCATCCATTTGAGGGTGAATATTTGATATGGAAAAGCAAAAAAAAACAGTGTCAGGAAATAGGCTATTAAATAATGAGTAATAGAAATTGGAATCTGATAAATCATCCCTGAAAGGTAACAAAAGTGTCTGGTTCTTGTATGTCCTATCAGTGGAAACTGCAGATAAACACACAATTTCAAAATCACTAGACACCAGTATCACTGGAATAGGCTGCTGCACTCAGAGCAACTTCTCTGAAGGAGCAAGTGTAAGGACATCCAGGTGTGGCCGAGTGCAGATCACTCTACCTTTTCAACCTAACCTGGGCACACACACGTGCTTTCTTAAAGAAAATTCAGCAACTTCAAAGATGTTCAGGAGAAAGAAACTATGTTGGCAGAGTTTAAAGTATTTGGCAGGCCCTGAACAAATGAATGACTTTGTCTTTACCAGATTGATCTCCGCGATGACCCCAAAACCTTGGCCCGCCTGCTATATATGAAGGAGAAGCCGCTCACTTACGAGCATGGAGTGAAGCTTGCAAAAGCGGTACTGTTCATTTTTAATTCAGCTTTAAGTGGTTACTAGAAAAGAGCAGGGTGTGTGCTTTGGGATGGCAGGCTCCATGTGGGTGTGCTTTAAACTGCAGCATGTTTAGAATCCTCTCTCTGCTCTGGATCCTCCCCTCTGTTCTAGAAAGACTGGAGGGGCCATTTGGTTAATGTTCCTGTCAGCCAGTATTGTCTGTTTTTCATTAAGACAGAAACTTTGTGAATTTAAACAGCCAGAGCACTTACCATTTTTATTTAGCAACCTCTAAAAAGAGGTTACCCTACAAAATAGTTGTCATATTTGGAATGAATTAAAGGGAGTCATTAGATGTCTGTTTGTAAATCTCACTGCTTATTATCAACATAACTCATCTAAATGACCCTTTTCGTGGTATTTTGTGATTTCTCTTGGAAGAGACTTAGACTCAGGTTATATTTATGCAATATTTCTTATTATATAATGAGTAGCCACTTAGAAAGTTTGGGTTGTGTTACAACAGCATCTGGAAAAAATAACATACACCAAAAAGTAACTAGTTGGGGAATCTAAGCAGTTGCTCAACAAAAAGGCAACTTACCCAGAGCTGAATTATTTTCTTTTTTTTTTTTTAAAGAGAGAGTGAGAGAGAGAGAGAGAGAGAATTTTTAATATTTATGTTTTAGTTCTCAGCGGACACAACATCTTTGTTGGTATGTGGTGCTGAGGATCGAACCCGGGCCGCACGCATGCCAGGCGAGCGCGATACCGCTTGAGACACATCCCCAGCCCAAGCTGAATTATTTTCATAGGCCTTTTTTCAGTCTTGAAATGTAGAGTGATTTTGGGGGGGGAGAAATGCTTCAGCAAGTATTTGCCAGACACCAAATCTCTACCTTTCCATTATCACCAAGATGTGTGCAAAGCAGCCAGTAAAATAGACACAAGAGAACGGAAGTACTTTGTGCAAGAGAAAGCTTATAAATCATATTTCCATCATTTGAATCCCTTCTTCAATGATTTAGGCTCAAACTCATCAACCAAAGTAGGAGGCTTTAAATTTTTCTGTTTTAATTTGTAAGTAACTAACCCTGCTAGATACATGTCCCCCAGCAGTTCATCACCCTCTCTAAGCTAGTGGAGAATCTTAATGAGTTCTTCATCGATAAAAATGTACACATTTCTCATATTAAACCTTGTTTATAGGCACCAAAAAGGAATGTGATACACTTAACTAGAAGCAAATTAAAGAAAATTGTGTTTTTATGGCTCAATGCATGAGAACGTCTCATGAACATGTAAAGTCCCCACTCCTGCAGTCATATCAGTGTCAACAGGACCACTCAGAGCTCTTAGGATGCTGAACATTTCACAAATTCCACCTCACTGCACACTCTCTTTAGTGGACAGTGTTCCTCTCATARTACAGGTTAGGAAATAGTGTCTTGGAGAGACAAACGTGTTTGATTCACACCATTCATCCTAACAAAGTCAGAAATCCTAGTGGCACACGCATGTAATCCCAGTGGCTCAGGAGGCTGAAATAGGAGGATCATGAGTTCGGAGCCAACCTCAGCAACTTACCAAGGCCTTAAGCAATTCAGTGAGACCCTGTCTCTAAATAAAATAAAAAAAAAAAAAAGTGGGGGGGGGGCCTGAGGATGTGACTATAGTGGTTAAATGCTCCTGGATTCAATCCCTGGTTCCAAAAAAGAAAAAGATTCTAATCCAGCTCTGGGGACATTGTCGCCTGTGCACCTGGCCTTGTGTAAACTGTCCATTCTTCAAACATTTACTTTTCTTCTGGGAAAATAAGTATGGATAGGTTCTGCTACCTTTTCCCTAAACATTCTCCTTCAAATGTTCTCATTAACACGTGTGAATACATAGCCCCATAAAAAACTGGGTGGGTTCCTAGCAGGAGGTCCCCAGCGGCTCAGCACCACCTCCCTGCAGGAGGTCAGTCTCCTTGCTCCCTACCTCGGAGCCTGTCTTCCACCTTCCTCCTGTCAGCTGCCTAGCTCCACTTGTCACTTGCCAGTTGTTTCTTCCCTCTGAAAAGAAGTCTCTCCAAAACCTCCCATCTCATCTCAGACTTATTTCAGAAACAATGGCTGAGTGCACCACTCCATCGCCTTCTGCCAGCTTCTCCTAGCAACTGCTCTCAGGTACAGAGAGAATCGTGTTTCGCTTACAAAACCCAATTTAGAAGAAAACCAAGCGGGATCTTAACTTGTTTCATCACAAATCCGTGTAATTATAGAGATGCTTTAAGTTTCTCTACTCTTTGACTTTTCTGTCAAGTAGTTTATGGTAACAGCCAGTGTTTATGGAGTGTTTATCATGCACTGGGCTGCGTGCCAAGCACGTCACAGGCTTCATCTTAATTGATCCTCACAGCCACCCCCCCCCCAGGTGCGTGTGTTGTTATCTCTACTTGCCTGGAGGAAACTGAGGCTCAGAGAGGGGAAGCTCACAGCTAGGAGGCCGCAGCGCTGGGACGTGGTGCAGTGCTTTAACCGAGGTCTCTTCCGCCTCCTTCCTAGAGCCTGATACAAAACCCTGAGTTTGGGGCGTCTGTCTTCATGTGCAGAAGACTCCGATTTCACTGTGCAGTACTCTCCTCAAAACTTAAAATGCTTTGTGAATTCAGAGTTCTCATACCTGATTCTTTTTGTTTGGTGTGTTTCATCCATCATCTCTTTTTGGTCCCAAAGGGCATTTTATTTTTAAAGGATGTTTTCATAACATCTGTATTTGCCATCCTTCGCACTCCAAAGCCAACCACGTTCACATAAATATTTTGCATCGATTTCTAATAAACATTCCTTGTTACCCTTTAACTTGTTCTTTCCTTCCTTGTCTTTCAATTATTGTGTCTCAAGTTTCAGCCTACACATGCRCAAAGGTCCATTTTACTACCAGATTTTTTCAATAATAATTGATTAAACACCGACTATGTGCCTTGCGTTATGTTACACATTAGCTCTAAGATTATGGTACTCCATGTGTTCTCTTTCTCAGTTCCATTCCATACAACCTAAGCAGGGTTTTCTAAGTTCAGACTCCCTGAGGTATTTCTTGACATGTTCCTATTTTTCTTTATTCTCTTTGGCCTCTTTTTGCCCTCCCCTGCCATGGTCTTCCCCTRGTATCTTTTGTTCTTGTTGTCACTCTAACGTCATACCTGTTACCTGTTGGGTTTCTGATACACACAGGTAGAATTTAAAGCAGAAAAAAAATGCTATAACAATGTTCAGTCAATGTTATAGACTCAATCATCTGGAGTCTTTATACCTTCCTCCTGAATGGAGGAGTCATAGCTCCTGCCTTCCTGTTTGCCCTGTGGTCTTTGAAGGCCACCACCTCATCACTGGTATCTGAATGCCTGAGGCCCACAGGCTGGAAGAGGAGGAGACAAGTGAATGCAAATTCTAAAGCAACAGAGAGCAGGGAGTGACTGACATTCAGGGAAGGAAGATTCAGAGATTTCTTGAAGCAACTGATATCTCTGTCAGGCTTCATGAAGGATAAGGATGAGTTCATGCGTAAACAAAATTAGGGGACAGGAGACAAAAATTCCAGACCAGTACCTTCAAGGGCATCCTTTAAAGCACAAAGAGCAAAGTGGCAACTGATGGGCCAAATTTCACCCACAATCTTGATTAGCCCCATGGGTACTTTTAATGCAATCCAGGGGCCAACATTTAATCACTTTGGAAACTTTGCATAAATATATGTTGTTCTGGCTTCTTAAAAAAAAAAAAAAAAAAAACTTTCAGAATGCCTGGCAACTCTGGACCAGTATTTCCTCCTCAACTGAAACTTCTAAATAGTCAGACAAGGTATGTACCCTTCAATCTACCACAATCCCCAAAGCTGAGTGGTTAAGATTCTGGCTCAGAAAATGGACAAAGGCTAATTTCTGCCCTTTCTTAGTTGTATGGACATAAACAGGTTCTTAACCTCTCTGGACATCAGTTCTCTGGGCTATACCTCCATCTCCACCCTTTTCTTGAAAACATGTCAGTTTGGTAAAGCATGCTCCAGATGGCTAACATGTGGATCTAAACAAGACCCTGTATCATGAGGGTGGTGATAGACTTGCCTTGTAAAGTTCTCGTGGTGGTGAAATGCAGTCATGTTCCCCAAGCTCTGGGTCAGCAGGCTATGGCTGTTAAATCGGTGCAGCCCTTCAGACAGCTGGGAAGGCCTCTYTGCTTTTATCTCTTCCAGTTACTTTCAGACCCACACTACTACATACCCCACAGACACCAGGGCRATCCAGGAAGAATGAATGGTTTTCACTTGATTAGTCATCAAGGTCATCATTGGGCCTGTTGTTGTTGTTTAATTCCTTCTTGTCAGACTCTTGGATCTTCTGTACCTCTATGGCATGTTTCCCAGCTTTTGAAACAATAAGCTTTAACCACGGTAAAAGTTATCAGAAAAGGGTTCTCTCTGTTGATATCCTCAGTCTCCACCTTTTTCTTGAAAACATGTCAGTTTGGAAAAGCATGCTCCAGACTGTTAACATGTGTATCTAAACAAGACCCTGAGCGCTTACAGATGGATTCTACATATTTGACTGAGTAGGTCATTTTGTGCCAAGAAACAGATGAAGTCACTGCTGTAAGAAAAGCCATATTTCCATGAGCCAGCTTTCCATTTCACACCTTTGAGAACATACATTATTTTTCCTCCCCACAGTCCCTCTAACAGGGGCTCTGCCTTTTCCCTGAACCAGGATGAATTCTTCTCTCTGACCCTCAGAGTCCTTGAAACGTGCTAACAGTACTTACCTCATAACTGGGTTCTGTTTCTCACACGTACTTCCCAAATCACACCCCAAATCTCTTGGCTACTTTTCCTGGAACTATCGGTACTGCCTGATGTTATGTTAACCTTGTTACACAATAATGTCTTTATCTACTGTTTCATTATCTTTAGTAAAGTTGGAATTGGGAGAGACAAGTTTGGGCTCCTCCTGCATCATCAAAGGCAAACTCTGACAAGCTTATCCACAGCACTATGGGGACAGAGGACAGAGTTCCCTGCCTATCTTGCAGGACCCCCAGTGTAAACCTGGCTCAACCAGGCTCTCCTGAAATTTCCAGAATCAGACTAAGGCTTGTGATCATTAGTGGGGAGGTTTCCCAGATAGAACGTCACCACAGCACTTTCTAGGTATTTTTGCAGCATGACTGACACAACCTGTCCCATTACAAGCAATAACTCAGTTGGCACATTGGTTGAATTTCCATCTTAACCAATTAGCATATCAAGTACGGACACAATTCACCCTGCCCCCAAAAAAGTTGACATTATTAAAATTAAATTTTTTTAATTAAAATTAAAATTTTCTTCACTCTTTATTCCCCTTTTGTACCCTACTATTTTTATTTATTTTCTTAAAAAGTTTTTTCCTAATCTAAAGGCCGATTGAAAGCCATAAAATAGGCTTTCCATTGATGATTTCAATACCATGCTTTTGGTATTTTCATTTGGTTCACACAGTGACTAATATCTATTAGAGACATTAGGAAATAGTTTTTGGACCCAATCAAAACAAAATTATTTCATTCTCAGTCTCTATAGCTGTGGCCTTTCAAATAAGAGAGCAACCTCGTTCACTAAGTTGTCAACTTGACCAGCTTCTTGCAGAGCTGAGCCATAAGGGTTACAGTTACGGGTCATGGAACAAGGAAAAGAACACACATCAAGAGACCCAGAGTTTAGGTCTAATTTTTCACTTTCTAATTAAATCCCTTAAACGATTCATTTTACCTTCCTGGGGTTGTTCCCATTCTTGTCGAAGCTAAACCTCCGTTTTTCTTTAGTTCACACRCTGCTGGTAACAGTCAAATACATCCCATATCAGAAGGCATACAGAAGGTTTTAAAAATTGGTAAATATTAAATAAAAATGTAGGTGCTAGAGTTGTGGATTTATGGCAGAGTGCTGGCCTTGCATGTATGAGACCCTGGGATTAAGATCCTAGCACCAAAATAAAATAATAAAATTCCCAATTTCCAACTCCTCTTGAAAAATACAAAAATGGGCAACCATCACCCAACATTCTCACATGGCAGCAGAATAAGACTGGCTGCCCTAGAGGGGACGTGTACTTTACAGTCAATCCACCATAGTCCTCACTTCCCCCTATTGCCTCACACCAGCCCTGATTTCCTCACTTATATAAATTATGGGTCCTAATAGACCTATTTAGCCATTTATCAGCTATAGTTTCCAGGAACTTGCCATCCAGTCAACCTCTTCTTGAATCTGCTTTAATTTTTTTCAAAGGTGGTCTCCTAATGTGAAGCAAAAACTAACACATGTATTTCTCCAGATGTCCTTAATAATAAGAGGCCCACACCATGTTGTTGGCTCATACTGAGCTCGTGAGCCATTTTTATCTCAGGTCTCCTACATTGAGGCTGACTGCCAAACCTGGTCTTCATGGCCTGTGATTTTCTTAATAAGAATCTATAGCTTTGGCCTGAATATCTGTTTCTCGTAGGAACTTTGTGATTATGAAATACACCATGGAATGACATTATTACAAAGTTTTCAAGTAAAGCCCCAAACAAGTACCAAATACTTGACCATTTACATATACAGACCGTGCACTAATGAGGAAGATGTCTCCCTCAGCAAATGTATCTTATGATTTTTTAAAATATTTTTATATTTTTTTTAATTTCTTAAAATTTAAATTTTTAAAATTTTTTTTACATTCTTAAAATGTTTTTAAAGTATGTTGAAACCAAATGATAATGCCAATCAGATATTACCTTCTTAAGATGATAGCTTATCCAAAGTATTTTAATCAAGGATGACCTAGAAATCCTATGCACTCTTGTCAGCCAGGTTGATTCTGCTTTACTTCATCCAGGAGATGCATTTCACTTGAACTTGACTTCCACACTGCAAGCAAAAGAGAGGGTGCTAAAAACAATATCTTGTGGTCCTGTTGTTCACAACATACATTCAAATCATACCACAGTTTCAAATCCTCTCCTATTATATTTTCCTGTTAGGAAAAAAAGGTTTGTAGATCATTTTCAGAATTATTGTTTACCAAAAATGATCCACAACCATTTATTGTTAATACAAGACTATAAAACAATAGAAAAATAGAAAAAGATTAGGATTGCAGATGCAAATTGAAATGCAGAGGGGAAAAAAAAAAAAAACATAATCCAGAACAATCCCCAGGCTGTTCGTAAGGGCGGGCAGAGGTAAGGTCTGGCTGGGCAGAGGGCTGACCCACAGAGCTTTGCCCTTCTTTTCTTCCTGCTCAGGCCTGTCTGTCTCTCTTTTTGTATTTAAGATCGGAGCACAGTGCTACTTGGAATGCTCAGCCCTGACTCAGAAGGGTCTCAAAGCGGTTTTTGATGAAGCCATCCTGACCATTTTCCACCCCAAGAAAAAGAAGAACCGCTGCTCAGAATGTCGCGGCTGCTGTTCCATCATCTGAAGCTGCTGGAGACTCGCCTCCACCCCACCCCAGGGTGCAACAGCAGCCAATCTCTGGCACCCAGCTCCATCCAAAAAGGAGGGCGGGACCAGAAATGAATTCCCTTGCACCAAGGCCGCCCCACCTGTGAGCTCCCCAGCACAGCCTCCCAGTCAACCAACTGCCATGTCCCCAGTCCCCGGTGCCCGGTCCCCCATCCCGGCCAGAAGCACCCACGCCGCACCCCGACGTTAAAGCGGAGCCGGATTTCAGACAGTGTCGCTGCCGAACTCGTGGGGAACAGTCAAGGGCCATCTCGCCCTCCACCTGCCGCTGCCACAAGCACAAAGCTGATGGGAGAGGAGGAGCTCAGTTCCCGAATTGGTGGCCTTACATCTTTTACAAAACTCGGGAATATTAAAAAAAAAAAAAACAACGTTTTCTTCTGAATCTGCTGTTTTACCCATCGTGTTACGTTCCTTTTGCATTATTTCAAGAAATTTCCTAATTTTTTTTTCAATTCACTCAGGCCTTACAAATCCATACCAAAGCAGCCTAAAGGCAAGATGGTTGATGTTCGCTTCTATTTTCAGCATGTTTCTACCAAAGTCATTGGAACCAACATGTACCTCTGAATGCCTGATTATAAGAGAACTTTAAATTTTTCAAAATTTTACAGAGCAATACCTTTTGAGGAAAAAAAAGAAAACACCATCTGAATTATTTTGCAGATCCACATTTTTGGCCAAAAATTCACTGTAAAAGGGCTTGCGTTGATAAGTGAACTGCTTTTTTCCACCTACTATTGCCAGCCAGGGCAAACTAAAAATGAACTGAGTTAAGAAAGAAGTAATTCTGCTTTCCCTCCAAATGGCATGAAGGAAGGGTATGGCAGAACCCATCTTTTCAAATATTAAGCAAAATGGACTTCCCTGCTTCCTGCTCCCCTCCACCATTGCATGTTCTTTTCCTCCTTGATTTGACACTTTCTCCTGTGCCCAATTCCTTTGTTCTTCCCAGTCGTAACCTGACCTAAAAGAAAGAGCTGGACATTGGACATGAAAAAGCAAGTGTTTCAAAAATCTCCTGGTTCAAGCAAAGTGCCTCGATTTTTCCACTTGCTTAGACAGACCGAAGGTGCTTCTAGCTTGCACTATGGATGCTCCTGTTCCATTTAAATGACATTTTCCAGTTACAGCAGGCAGTAAATTACTGCCTCTCTCTCTCCATATTCATTATTCTAAAAGTTTGTCTAGGAACCAGGTTTGTGAATACCGAGCTCTGAATCCTTTTTCCAAATGATGCATTCCAAGGACTTTGGCTTAGGAGAAGAAAAAGCTCGCAGTAGGGGGATCTTGTGACCTTCCTATATGACAATTCCAAACATCCAGAAATTCTTGCGTCACAGGGAGCTACTTCCTCCCTTTTAAATAGAGAATAAGATGGCTTCTAATTAGTCTTATTTGCTTTCATGTGCCCTGGAATAACCCAGGTAATCACTTGATCATTTTATATTATTGCATAAGCGAAGCCTGTTTTTGCAGTATGAAATATGTCAAATTTTTTTTCATATTCAAGCTGTTGAAAAAATCCAGTGTTTCTGTCCCTTCTGCTCCTAGAAGAACCACATAGAAAAGAATTGTATTATGAGTCTTTTCTCTTAAGACCTTTCATGATACCCCTTCAGTCTTTTGTTTTTATTGGTTAACTGGTTAGTTAGTTTAGAATTTCTGAAATGTGTTTTCCTTTCTTCCACATTGCAAATGCTATTTTTTCTTTTCTCCCATCTAATTGCTAGCATTTTCTTAAACACACACACATACACACACATACGCACACACACACACACACACACACACACACACACACACACCACCTAAAAGGAAACAGGAGCTTTGTAAGTCAAAGCTTGACATTTAGAGAACATGAGGACTTTCTGCCTTTGTAAATGGAAATCAACCATGTATGAACTATAGCTGCAGAGGTTATGAGTTCATCCTTTACAAACAATAATGAGCATTTAGCCCTGTAATAAAGGAAGTGTTGTTAGTCAGTTTTGTTACATTATTGCATCACTACATCTTGCTAAAAGGCCACTCCTTACTTCTCATTGATGTGGATGAAAAATTGAAAGCAGTACATTAGCTCCACCAGAGAGAATTTTCCAGATGTGTGCACAGGCACATAGCTCCCCAGGTCATCACCTCCTTAGTGGGCCACTGGGATGAAAGTGTTCACAGTGGGAAGATCACTGTCACACAGAGCCGGAGCCTGGACAGAGAGACTATTGGTGTCGGAATGGAATACAGACTCCTCCAAGAGACCTTAGGAGTCAATTACCAAGTAGAACAAAGCAACCCAAGTGAGTTAGCATCCCACCAAATCAGTCATTCATTCCCTCTTTTATGGCTAGACCTAATTCATTTCACTAGAAAGTGGTTTCTGCTGTAAGATCAAATGGAATGCTCTGAAACCACAAATATAAAAAGACATAGAAATCGGAAGAAGGATCTTTAATGGTCCACGCTGTCTCCCAAAGTCAACAAATGGCCGCTGATCTCCATGTGAGGACAGAGTCTTAACTTTTCAGAGCTAGAAAAGGCCTCAGAAACTGTAGTCCAGTCCTTCCTGCACAGATGAGAAACTCTACTGCAATGGCCTAAGAGAGGTGTGTTGTGCCAGAGCCAGCACAGATCTTGGCTCTTCTGCTTCCCATCCAGTGCCCTTGAGCCTCAACTGATTCATTAACACACCCATTAAGTTGGAGTTTTGTAGGCACATCATTGGAGTTATATCATTTATCCTACAGATCTCAGACACATTTTTGACCATATATTCAATTATTAATAATAATTATAAAATTTATAAAGACATCTAGAAGGTAGCATCCAATGTGATAGATTTTACACTGTATGGAATGCATTTGACAGTACTTTATTCAAGCAAGCTAAGAAAATAATAGTAGAAGATGAAATCTTTAAGGTTACTCTCCAGATACATTTTGAACACACAACTTCTTATAGTTAAGCCACTAGAAATAAGATAAGCCATCAAACTACTAAAAAACTATAGACAAGAATTCAGTCTATTCTCTAATATGCCTGGAATCCAGGGTAATCAGCAATGTAATCCCAATCTAATGGTTCAATCAATAGTTTGACGGGGGGACTGGGATTGAACTCAGGAGCACTTAACCACTGAGCCTCACTAAGTTGCTTAGGGTCTTGCTAAGTTGCTGAGGCTAGCTTTGAACTTGTGATCCTCCTGCCTCAGCCTCCCAAACTGCTGAGTTTACAGGCATGTGCCACTGCTTCAGGTTTGACAGATTTTTTTTTTCACTCAGATGTTTGATTGGTTGGTTGATGGAATTAATGGACTCCTTAGGCTATTTCGAAAATACAGAAGGACTAAGACACAAGTCAAAACCATGGTCCACATAAGAAATCTGGTCTGATTTCTGCCAAGAAAAGTTAGACAATTACTAAAGGTGAGAACTACAGCAACATTAAACTAGGAAGCACCAAGCTGGGAGGTCAAAAGTAAGTCATACACATGTGGCAAGAAGGCTTTGGTACTGAGACTTTGATGGCAATATGTCTGTTTATGATACGCAAAGTATCTTTTGGAAGATGTGCAATCCATCAGAGAAGTGGGTGCAACCATACACAATGTTCATTAGACCCCCAATAGGAAAATAGTATTAGAATGGTAGCAAAAGAACACTCACAATTACACTCACAATTTTAGGAGAAAATAAAGAAAGCTAAATCCAAAATTTGAATCCAACAAAAAATTGGTCAATGTTTAAAGTTGAGCATCTTCAAGAATAAATACATTTACTGTCATGTAACTAAAAAGAACAAATAAAAAATTTTTTAAAAGAAGAAAAAACATATTTCACTTGAGGCAAGCATCCCCAAATGCCCTATGACATTCATAAATGCAAACTCATTCATGACACCAAAGAGATTCCAAATTGAGGGTTTGTTTTAAAAGCATACTTGACATCATGCTGGAGATTTTTATCTAACCAGTTATATGTTCATTTTTAAAACCCACCCTTGTTTAGCTGCCAGGATTTGAAATCTGCATTCACTCTCAACAGAAAGAACCAGAGGGCACCAGCTGTTTGGAGAGTCACTGAGTAGGCTGTCCAAGTATCAGTAAGAAAACTGCACAAGATAGTGTTGTTTCCAGGACCCTTAGAAACAGAAAGGAAAAGAGAAGATCATGGAAAACTGAGTTTCTTAGGAAAGAAGTTAGGAATTTTAGAAAAAGGTAGACAGGATGGAGAGGAAGCCCCAACCAAACACAAGGCAGAACACACACCTGAGAATCCTCCTGGAGAGTGGTTAACTTCTTCCTGCCTGGTCTCTAGAGGCAGAGGGAGGAATGGACTGTGATCATGAAGAGCACTCCATGATCATCAGGGCTCCTGGGGTCACGATCCTAGGGGATTCCACTCGTGATTCACTACAGATGAGTGAAATTCTAGTCCATGTTCTTTGGGTCTTTCATAGCAGGATGGGAGCTCAGCCTCTCACCATCTCTGTTTACACAGAACATGCAGTCAAGGAAAATCAAGAAATATGATTGAACAAATGAAAGTTTTCCTGAGCTAAAACATGACTTAAAAATCTGAAGAGGGTGACCTTTGGAATATCTGGACAAACAGTTCCTTGGGTGAATGGTATTGATGCATCTTCAATGGAGTATTTCCAAAAGAAAGATGGTATTTCATAGGCACAAGTACAATCGCATATGATAAAGCAATAATTTCTGGTGCTTCGATGGCCAACAAAGACCAGAGCACCAAGCTCTATCTTCAGCGTCACTTCAGCCATCAGGGGCTCCGCTGTGCTCTTTGGGTGTCCCTTGGGGTCAGGGAAACAAAGAGTCAAAGAGAGTTTGACTCATCTGTGAAATGGTGGGGTGCAAGTCACCAACAGTTTTTGTCTTTGAAATTCCACGACAGGAAATTAGAGTAAAAACTGCATGATGAATTTTGGTCACAATATATTTCTTCTCCCTTATGGGGGATATGATGTCAAGGATCAGGGTTGCTTTGGTGCATGTGTGTTTTAAACGCATCCTACCCTGGAAGTTTTATTTTGTTCTATGAGTTCTGCTGTGGCTCAGAAGCTTTGTGAAGGCACAGCTGGAGTCATTCTGTTGTGTTTTTAGTTATGTCCTCCAAGTCTCTCAGTCACACAGTTTGCTGAATAGGATCTGATCAGGGTTATAGGGAATGTCATGTCCTGGGCATCAGGAGGAGAAGGTTCCCATAGTCACGCTTCGCTTCCCTGGGACCCTGTACAAGGCAGTCTTCAGTTTGTGAGTTCTTTGAGGGGTGGGAGGGTGGAGAGACGGCTTCTGAGTAGAGCTTCGTGTTTGGGACAGCTTTGTAAATACACATCTAAAATCACCTCTACCTAGCGTTGTTTAATTTTTTTTTTTTAAGCAGACTCTTTTGTCCTCCGGGAGTCAATAGGCAAGAAAGTTAATGGATTCTACATCCTCATCACCTGGTTACACTGTCTTTCTCTCTGAGTCAACAGAAATTACTGTTTAAGTACATCTCGGCAGAGTTTTTTCCTCAACTGTAACAGTTCATGTTCTACTCAATGTAATCTGTACAGTCAAGGGCAGGACAGCTGGTCCGCTCGCTGGCTGGTGTTCCTACCATCTGCGTCTTATGTAATGGCTATTCTATGTACCTTGGTCATTATTAATGGAATGTTATTTCATGTACTCTTTAACCTTGCAGTTTATTTTGTGTCATGTTCTGATTTTCAAATCATTAAATAGTCTTCTTCCTACTCTCATTTGTGAGTCATTGGAAGGTGTCTCCGGTGATCACTTGAGGAAACTGCTTTCCACAGGCTTCTTATAGAATGGGAAGTTTTTTTTTGTCTGGCCTCTTGCTTCTCAGAGTGTGGTCCGGGGCCCAGGAGCATCAGCATCATCTGAAGGCACTTAGGGCCATACAATCTCAGGCCGAGTCTAGACCTACCTAATCAGACTCTGCATTTTAATAAGACCCCCCCCAGTAATTTGTATGCACATTAAAATTGGGGGAGAACTGGTCTACGAGACAGTCAAGTTCATTATTAGTCTCTACATCCAAACACAGAGCTGCCTGATGAAGACCCGTCAACTTAGCCTCTCAGGCTAAGGTCAAGTCTGGGGCACCACGAGAAGGTTCCCATAGTCAGCAACCTTGCTTATCACGCTTAGCTTCCCTGGGACCCTAAACAAGGCAGTCTTCAGCTTGTTAGTTCTTTGGAGGGAAAAGAGACAATTTCTGAGTAGAGCTATGTGGGTATCCCCTAAATTAATATTGAGTCATTTTCATTTCTTGGATGAATGAAAGGGCTGTCAGAAATCCTTTCTTTTTCTTGTCTTGTGCTACCCAGCTGCAGTAAAGGAACATGCATATTTTGGAATTGAGCAGAAAAGCAGCATCTGGTTTGAAAGATCTGCTAAATCTAAAGTATTTCTGTTCTGAAAGTCTTTGGGGTGTTTACAAGGGAGAGAGGGAAAAAAAGTCCTCTAAAATTACTTTTCCTGAAGAAGTAAGATTCATACCACATGAGATTATAAATTTACAAAATAAACATAAAACAAATTTCTGAGGCATAAAACATTTAGCAAAGTTTCTGTCTTCATTTGGTTAGGACACGGAGCTCTAAATTTCAGATGGGGACAAAGGACCTATCCTCTGGAGAGAGCAGAGACCCATTCTGTAGACTCCCCTCTCCATCGCCTTAAGCACAGACCAGAATCTATTCCCTTACTCAACATATCTTC